TTTCGTCATGGCCATCAGCAACCGGCGGCTGTCTGCTTTGTTGAAGTCGCCACAGAGTTCAGTCCCATTAATTGTGAGCCTTCGCAACAAATAATGGAATCTGATTGCAGGTCGGCAAAAATCAGCATGCTGATCAGGGCCTGCTATCCCTCCACAATTGTGGAGGGATAGAAGAAGGATTGTTTCCTGCGTCCACAGCGTCTGACTATGCCAATGAGTGGATCCTTGGAAGTGCCCTCCGCGGTTTTGGCGGTATTTAAGTTGTACGCGTGAGCCGGTCAGGCTAACCACATCCTTCTGCTAACCCAAAGCTTAACTAACCTTCAGTCTGTGATGTCGAGAACAAAGGTTGAGAACACCACTATGTTGTCCAGCTATATCCCTAACCAGAATATACGCTCCGGAGTTACTAACTCAAAACTTGGAAATGTTTCAAGTGTCTCGAAGCGAGGCTGCAGACATACAAAGTAAGGATGGTGCCATATCCAAAATCGATGCTAAGCGTAGGCTTTTTACAGTCATTAAAAGGCGTTTATGGATTCGAAGCGACATCTTTATTTCCGGGAAAACCGCGTGTACTGGACATTTATACACTCAGTTCACATATATGGTCGTGGATGCTTGAATAAACATGTAAACGGTGAGAGCGAAAATCGCAGATATCGAACTATTGCCACCTGAGGATCATCCTTCGAGTGAAGCACATCGATTTCGTTTCAAATGTCAGCATTCGCTGCGACAACCTAAGGTCAAGAAAGAAGAGTGGAGTGTTTTGTGCACGCTTTTCGTCATCCACCTTATGAGTTCAGTGTTTTTTGCTCGGCTCAGTGCCGTTGCCTACATGGAGGCGTCGAGGAGAGGGTAAGGAATGTGGCTCGCCCATACATGGAAGTGTTTCTTAGTCATTCTGTGTTCAGTCTCAGTCACTGAAGGATGAATTTCAAAATCATATTCGCACTAAGGACAAAACAGTCGACAAAATCTGGTTAGACCAGATGTCTAGTCCCCAAGATATCCCTCAGGTGTTTGGTTTAAGCGTGTCATCACAAGGATTTGGTCTCTGGTGGTGGTCGCCTTAGTTGAAAGGGCAAGAGCTGCTCGCGTCTGCGGCGATCGGAAAGTAGGAAATTTGCCTCGAAATCACAGTTTCTTCACGAGACGACCACAAAGTTTCAAAAATTATTGGACCTTTTGGATGTTTCGGCTAATAGTGGGACTAACAAGCAGCATTGAACCTCGAAGGTGTGTAAATAAAATGTGCCTGACTCAAAAATTAGAGGGCGCTAATAACGTCGTTGACAGACATGGCGCTCATGCAGACGGGCATTTTGCCCTCCACGGAGACCCTTATGACCCCGAGTGTTTGAAAAGTGTCGAAAAGAATCCACTACAGCAGGTTTTAAGTAACCCTGACAGCTTTTCATGATAGTCATCTAAAATTATGGAGGCTGATAAAGAAATATATTTTTATTCCCATCATAAAATATGGAAGCTATCAGCATTTACAAAGTCAATAATGCAAAAGCCGGCGTGCACTTCTATTCCAATATCTACAATTTTAATTTGGTTTGCACGAAGTGCACTTAAAGCACAGTTAAGCCGACAGGTTCTTACGGTCGAAGTCACGGAGCATCCATAAAAACCATTCGTTAAGCTTTCTATGAAGGCAAAACCGCACGGTGAATTTCGAACATTTCCAAAGCCCATTTATTTTCAAATGCCAATTTTAATAAAGCTATTTACAGCAAAATTATTATAACAGACTATCCACAGAACGCGTTTGCATTTGCTTATCACATGGGCGTTCTACAAAAACCAGAATGCCCCAACAAATACAGTGGTGCAAAGAATATTCCTTTAGTGATATTGGAAATTTTTGCAAGCTGACATTAGACATACTAGACGTTACAATCTGGTTTGCTTTCAAGAGTTATGGCGGAATTATCTTAAGATTTTTGTATGCATTAAGTTACAAATGCCTTTTAGAGACTGAAATGCGCGAATTACTGAGTGCGGTGACAAAATTCAATCAGAAAATAGAGGGCAAAGAGCTTTAGGAAATTCAAGCGAAAAGATAAACGACAGAATATACGGTTGGAAATATGTCAGTGTGGTGACGACGGGCAGGTCAGCTGCTATCACGATAGATAAGCATAGTTCCACATTTTGCTTGAATTTTCTCAAGTGTGCCGGTAATCTAAACTACCAAGCGTCACAAGTGGGTCGGTCTAAGGATAATCACAAAGGTTGCATTCGACTGCACGCTCGAAGCATACGCGCGAAAACTTCAAATTTCT